CCACTGGAGCCTGTTACAAAAGCCCAGGGCACAAATGGAGTGAGGTGGATGGCTCAGGGCATCTAAATCACAACACTTTTAAAATTGGACCACCTTTTGGTAGAGTGTGGTGGTGTAGCCTGGTGGTTAAGGGCAGAATGATGTGATGGTGGAAAGGCTGGTGTTCAACTGCCAGCTTTATAATCAGTTCCCACCCCTTCCTAGCTGTATCTTTAGGCAACAGCTAGGAAGTTGAGCCCTAGGAAGTGTATCTGTTGAGCCCTTAACATCTTTGTGCCTCAGTTTCCTCATCTGTAAAATGGGGATAATAACAGTCCTTCAAAGGGCTGCAGTGAGGACTAAATGAGTTTGTGGCTCTCACCTGTGTCCCCATCTCAAGTGTACCACTGCCACCCACTGAAACACCCGTGCAAGAAGCCTTGGACGTTGTTCTTAATCCTTTTTCACATCCAGTCACTGAAGTTGGATTCGTCTCCCTTCTAAGCTGATGTTGCCACCCCACGCTTTCCTACCACCACCCATCATCTCTCACCTGCACCTGCTTCTTCTCTGAAGGCCAGCCTCCCACCTCCCTCTCTGTGGCCTTGGCTCCATTATACAGTTCAATTCCATGGACAATCCTGAGCACCTTCTGTGTTCCAGACACTGTTCCAGGGCACTGGCAAAATGAGGACAAACAAGACACCGCTCTGGTACTCACACCGTGCAAAGGAATCCTGTGGTAAATGGAGAGGCCCACATTCACCATGCTGGGCAGGTCACTTCCCCGAGAAAGTTTGGGGCCAAATGATTTCTTATGGTCCTTTCAGCAGAAATAGCCTAAGATTCTGGACCCAGCTCCCCCGGGGCAGAAACCTTGCCTGATTCACCTGTGATTCCCTAGCTTGTGGGAAGGAGCTTCGTACTGTACACTGCAGGGGTTTGGCAAGTGCTTGCTGAATGAAGGAACATATCACTCCACTGCTCAAAATCATTTAATGGCTTCTTTTTGCTAACAAGATAAGGGCCTTCCTAGAAGGCATTCAGAGCCCTTAGAGCCTCTCATCACCACCTACCCCCCTCACCCCCCCCGTCCCCCCCCCCCCCCCCCCCGTATTGAATATCCTCTGACCCTGGGAACTGCCACCTCCCAGCACCAGAACAGGAGAGCTGGGGAGCATTTGAAGAGCTTCATGTGACATTCACTGAGCACCTATTCAGTGCCAGGCCCAGTGCAGGTGCTAGGAACACAATAGTGAACAAAACCAGTGGAGTGTCTGCCCTCCAGCAGCTGATGTTCTAGGACAGGGGTCCGAACCCCCAGGCCGTTAGGAATGGGGCTGCACAGCAGGAGTTGGGCAGCAGGCCAGCGAGGCTTCACTAGCATTACTGTCTGAGCTCTACTTCTCCCCCATCCACTGTACCCCGCCCCCCCACCCGCCTGTCCATAGAAAAGTTACCTTTCACAAAACCTGTCCCTGATGCCAAAAAGGTTGGAGACCGCTGTTCTAGGAGACAGGTGGAAAAATGTAAAAAAACGGACCACACAATGCAATCAGTGTTATGAAGGGGGAACATGGCAAGGGTAGGGGCGGGCAACACGGGGTAGCCTGTGGGAGCCGGAGGAGGCCCCTCATCCAGCCCTGAAGTCACTTCTAAACCCAAATGCAAAGGAATGGTGGGAGGTGGAGGTGGGGAGGGAGAGGGCACAGGGGGATGGCCAGAGGCATCCACTCCCTCCCAGAGAAGTGGGTTTCCTTCGCTCATCTCCACAGGCAGGGGTCCTCCAGTGTCTCCTTGCATAGCCCCAGAGAATGAGCTACCATCTAGGTAAATCAGCCCATTCTGTGAGTGCCTGGCTCTCATCTGCTCCTGAGCCTACTCTACTCAACCTTTTAATTAGTAATAATAATAGTGTATCATATTATATTCATCTCAGGAGTATATACTGAATGCCCACTTTGCACCTACCTACCAGGTGCTTGACATGCATTACCTGATTGATTCCTCACAGAGACTGTTATCCCATTTTTCAAATAAGAAAACTGAGGCTCAGGACCAGTGGCTTGCCCGTGGGACTCCTAAATGTCAGGCCTGACCCCAGGCTGCGTTGCCTTCAGGATCCCTGCCTCCCGTTGGGCTGGCTCACCCGAGTGCCTTCCCCTGGGATCCACGCATTAGAGGGGGTTGGGCCCCATTCTCGTTCCCTCCGACAGGCTGGCCAGCCCGGGCGTCGGCCACTGTCCCCTCAGAAGCTGCTAGGGAGACAATGGCGGGGTCGGCGGGGGTAGGCGAGGGCGCGGGTGCCCCCCAGCCCACTGCCCTTTGTCTTCCCGCCCGCTCCCCTCTTGCGCCCCGGGAGGCTGGGAGGCGCCTCTCGCAGGCTTCCTCCTCCCTTTCTTGTGCTAATTGGGTGTCAAGCTGAGATCAGTGAGAAAGAAATCCTCCCCGGCTTGGGTTAAACTGCCGCCAAAGACCGGGGCTGAGCCCAGAATATCATTAGGAGGGGAGGAAACGAGCCCCCTCCTCGGGGGGAGGGGCCAGCCGCTCATTCAGGCCCCTTTGAAAGTCACTTGGTCGCCCCCTCCCTTGCCGCCATCGCTTCAATGGGCCCCTCGGAGGTATTTAACCTTCTTCCCAGGAATTGAAAGTGATACACCAAGCACTGGCCTGGGCGGCCACTTGCCGGTCCCGAGGGCGGTAGGACCTCCGGGGATGCGCGAGGCATGCCCCTTCCAGCCTCCCCGGCGCAGGTTGCAGACGGGAACACTGAGGCTGCCGGAAAGACTTTGCCTCTGCGAGCCTCTGAGTCCTCATCTGTGGAATGGAGATCAAAATAGCAGCTGCTTTGTGTTATGGATTTAATGAAACAATGCACATAAAACGCTTTGCACAGTGCCTGGCACGTAGGAAGTGTCCCCACACATGGCGGCTATTAGCAAGTCTAAGGAAGCCGTTTGACTTCACTCAAGGATCCGCTAGTGGGGCTCCCAAGTCTCTAGAGGTGTTCAAGTACAAGTGCCCACAAAGCACTCACTTTTCAGATCTAGCTTCAACTCTCCACCCCACCCAAGCCCCCACCCCACGGTGGTCCCACTGCACTTCTTTAACCTGCGGGGCTGGTAGTTCACCTCCCAGCCTTTACACTTTGCTGCTCTTTCGGGCCGGGACACACTTCCCCTCTGATTATTGGAGCTCTTCTTTGAAAAGCTCTCCAACCAGCGAACACGACACCTTCAATCCCATTCCTACCCCCGCGCGCCGGCTAGGACACCAGGTTAGGTGCAGCTCAGCACACCTTCTTTGCTTCTTTACTGCTAGCCCCCTCTGCCCAGCCCCCAGAGGATAGAGTTAGGGCCTGGGTCTCTAGCTTGCTCCTCGTGGGCCCCCTCACCTCCCACCCCACCCCCTTGCACAAACACGCCTTTAGAATCTGCTCCACAGATGAGATAACTCGGTGCTCTGTAAATAGTAAAACACTATATAAATGTCAGGAAGTGCCCGATGAACAGTACCTATGTTTAATTAACTTCACAAGCATGTTTTGAGCACCTACTGCATGCATGGAAACTACTCACACAGCCATGGCTTGGATGAGGCTGCAAGGCTGAGAGGCCCACCAACCCCACCCCTTCACTGATGGGCTGATGCGGAAGTGGGGAATTTAGGCCTAGTCTGGGGTCTCCCTTTTAAACTACCATATACTGAGCAGATACCAACACCAGACCCTGAGTGAAGAGATTTCCATGCATGGTCTTATTGCACGTCCACAAGATTGCAATATAGAGAGTCCTACAGGAGAGGAAACTGAGGCTGAGCCTGACCAATGGGCTTGAACATAGGCACATCTGATTCCTGACCTGGAGCTTCTACCACTCCATACTGCTTTTGGTGACTGTGTTTAACCTAGAGGAAGGCTGGGAGAGCACGCACTGCCGAGGGTTAAAGATACAAGGCCGTGCGGTCAGCCAAACCCAGCCCCTCGGGAGCCTTCAAAAACCCAAGGCGGCGTCCCCTGGGCGGAGTACCGGCCTGCCTGGTTGGGTTGAGCGCTAAGTGCAGGCGGGATTTGCGGGCTCTGCGCGCTCTCTGCTGGCCACATTCGGGCACTGCAGCCATCCCTACCGTCCCACCCCTACCCCACCCCCACTAAGCATCTTGTTCCGCGGGGCCGACCACCACCCCTCCCACACTTGGCCCCAAGAGAAGCCCCACACTCCTCTTTCAAAGGTCATTTCCCCAGGAGACAACCCAGGTTTCTTCCCCTGGCCACCCTCCACCTGGACTGTCAGCTGCTGGCCTAGGGCGTGGCCCACAGGCATGCGTGGAATGAAAGATCTTCCGGCTTTCCTGCAGTCCTCTGCACCAGGTGGGTGGGGCAGTGGGGCGGGATGAGGGCTGGGGCTTGCGTTCCAGCTCCCACTACTTGCTGTGTGACCTCTGTCAAGGGACACTGACAATGGTGAGGGGGAGTGAAGGTAAAAACCAGGGCACCGTGCCTAAGGCTCTGCATTGAGGCGGACCTCTTTCCCATGTCCAGCCTGGGAGTGACGCCCAGGCCCTTCAGGCTGCTCCGGAGAGCTTTTCCTTGAGCTCTGCCCAGGCTGGTTCTGTAGCCCTGCTCTGCTTCCTCACACCTGCAACCTCCTGGGAAGTGCACCCCAAGCGATGAGAACAGCCAGGGTCCAAGTGGGGATCCTGCCCTGGGGTTAGGGTTCTCTCTCCTAGGCTCTGAGCAGCCCTTTCCTCATGGTGGCTACCTTCAGCTCTCTGAATCCTTCTGATCACTCCTGCGTCACCAAGACTGAGTCACCTGCCCAAGACCACAGGCTCTTAAGTGACACAGATACTTTGGACTTTCTGGCTAAACACCTTGCCAAACGGGTGGGAACTGAAATGTGGCTGTGGCATCTCACCTGCCCTAAGCCCAAGTGTGTGAAGAGATGCTAAGAGTGAGTGAAGCCATGGGGAGGTAGGCGGGGCCTGAGGAGGTCAGGCAACATGCACACAGGCTAGGGGGAGTCAAGGCAGTTTATTGGCCCCTGAGTGCCCCCACCCCTCCTCCTCTCAAAGCCAGGTCAGGACCGAGATGGAGGTGACACGGACAGACCCACAAACACAGAAAGGCCCTGCCTGAGGGACAGCCAGGCAGCCACCTAGGGGAGAGGACACGAGAGGGAGGACGCTCTGTCTGGGCGGCCTGCTGCAGGTCGGGGCCCTCCTCCCATCCTCCTGGAGGCACTGGCAGAGCCGAGTCCCATGAGAGCAGCTCTGGCCTGGAGCCTCTTCAACCAGCTGATGCAGGGCCACCTCGGCGCCTGCCGGCTCTGCTGGCTTCCTGAGTCTGGAGGCATCTGCCCCAGCCCCGCTTAGAAACTCCCTGCTCTGGGGAGTGCTTGGTGACCCTTCACCTGCCCCAGACCTAACCCAAGACATCATCCTGAGGGGCCCAGTCAGTCTCAGCCCGGGGACCTGCCTGGCCTTGAAGACAAACGTGGACATGAGGCTTTCACGGAAAGCCGCTGGGGGAGGGGCAGGCGGCAGTGAGTCAGTTGGCAGTTTGAAGAGGGAGGGGATCAGCACCTCATCATCGAGGTGCCGGGCCCTGCTTGCTTTGGTCTGGCATTGCCCAGGATGCCTCCAGGGTGGGAGCTGGGGCTCTGGATCCAGCATCCACTGGCCCTGAGAGGGACTCCAGGCAAATCACAGCTTCTCCTCGCCAGCCTGGATTCGGGTGTAGGACTCTTGGTCCAATGGGACGTAGCGGCCCGTCCGGGAGTTCAGGTAGAACAGCGGGTCTTTCACGACTGCAGGGTCAAAGCCCTCCTTCCGCAGCTCTGTCTTCTGTAACTTGAATGTCCCTGAGGGAGCAAAATGGGGGGAGGAAAAGTCAGAGGGTGCAGGGCAAGGGCTGAGCTCCCAGGAAGGCACCCAGTGGAGCTGAAGATGGACAGGGGAGAACCAGGGAGACACAGGAAAGGACTCGTGTGGAAGAGCAGAGCCCTTCACAGTTCACAAAGAAGGCCCCATCTATTTCACCGCGTGCCGCTTCTCAAGAGCAGCCCCGGCAAGGGGCGGGCTGCGTTACCCACCCCCTTTTTATAGACGGGGAAAGTGACACCTGAAGGACAGAAGCTATTTGTCCAAGGCCACACACAGAGCAGAGTGAGGGGCAGAACGTGGGGCTGTGAAGGCTCCTTTTATCCAAGCACCTCCCCGGGCAGCTGTAGTGGCATTTAAGCTGCTCATGACCCCAGAGGGTTCAACCTGTTCCTTGGATGCTGAGATGCACGTTTTCAGATTTTAACATCTCTGAATAGTGTTAAGTAGCAGCATTTTTTTTCTTAATAGTATCAAGGCAGCACTGACATGATGACCTTGTGGGAGGTGGGCTGGCAGATGAGGCCAGAAGGTGAGCGGCCAGGGAAGGGGCTGAGATGTGGGGAGAGCCAGGGCAGGGGAGCAACAGCCAGGGAGAGCAAGGCGGGTGGCCTGGGCGCGAGCCTCCCGCCCGCCAAACAACTCCCGGAAATCTTCAGTGGACCAACAGACAGGAATGGTGCCGCCCTGCTGTGTGAGGGTAGGCCCACCACTCACGTGCCCCCAGGGAGATGACCACAGCCACGCGCTCATTTCCCCACTCCCCGCCCCGGGCTGCCTCTCCCACTCTCCATGCAGCAGCCAGAGGGCTTCGGAGAACGTGAGTCTGACCAGGGTACTGCCCTGCTCAAACACCTCCGTGGCTCCCTGCTGCCCCCACGCCAGCCCACCAGGCTCTGGGCTTCTGGCCTCTGCCGACCTCTTCCCCCGCCTCATGCCACTGGCCTCCCCCTTACTGGCTCCGGTGCTGGGGGCCTCCTTTTGCTGCTCTGGTGTCCAAGGGTCCTCACACGTGCCCAGCGCAGGTCTTCCCTCTCACTTGGCCTCGCAGACACGCCCCTCCTCAGGAAGGCAACCCCACCCTCCGAGCCCCTCCTCGTTCCCTTTTCCGTGGGCTTGACCTGTACTCTTTCCTTTGTCTTGGAATCCCTTGTCCCGAGGCTGCCTCTGCTACTACTGCTCTAGAGGCTCCAAGGAAGTCCTCTCAGAACTTGTTACCTATGTCCCCAAGACCTAGCACAGAGCCTGGCACACGGAAGGTACTCAGTTACTGTTTGTCCCATCAACGAATGGTCGGACCTTCTGTCTCTGCAGGCTCACCTTGCTCACCTGTACACAGGGAGGTCTGTTTAGTCGCCACCTAGCTAGGCTATGGGTGAAGATCAAGGGACAGCCACCCAGGTCTCTCCAGAAGAAACTGGTAAAGGGCTGAGGCCTGAAACCTGCAAGTTGGAGCAGGGGAGGGGACAGACCTGTCTTGTGAAGCTCGGGCATTAAACGCAGGAAGATGGGGCGGGCGTACAGGGGCAGTTCCTTCTTCAGGTGCTGTGCAAAGGACTCCAGGTCACAGCTGCCAGTGGGGTTGGCCACAGCAGCCATCCCAGCTCGGCCCTCAGTTCCTAAGGGCAGAGAAGTGGATGTGAGCAGCTGGCAGCGCCCCCTGGTGGCACCTCCCACCTCCCCACACAGATACCTGGCACCTCGACGCCATATACTGCCACATCGGCCATGTCCAGCAGGCGGCTGAGTGTGCCTTCCACCTCTGTGGTGGACACGTTCTCGCCTTTCCAGCGGAACGTGTCCCCCGTGCGGTCTCGGAAATACAGATAGCCCAGCTCGTCCATCACCAACACATCGCCTAGGGCGGGGTTACGTGAGGAAGGGCTTGAGCCAAGCAGTCCTCTCTGGACCGCTAGGATGTGCTAGACTCTAGGGGAGGGGACTGGGGGAGTCCTGGGGGAGGTGTTCTCTGAAGGCGGGGGAAGGCCCCTTTGTACATCTCCACCACCCCCCATGGGGCTGTAAAGGGCTGGGGAGAGGTGCCCACGCACCGGTGAGGTAGGCCTGGTCGCCCTTGCTGAACACATCCTTGGCAATTTTATTATTGTTGGCACCCTGGTTGAGGTAGCCATCGAAGCGTCGCAGGGGGTCCTGCTGGATGATGCGGCCCACCAGCTGGCCAGGCTCACCTGGGGGCAGGGAAGGCGAGGCCAGATTTGCCCTGGGTGGCCTCTCCCACCAGCTCCCCCGCCCCCAAATGCACCCTGCAGTGACCGGTCTGACTTCTGGTCACACTGCTCCCACTTCTCCCCGAGCCCAGAGCGCCTCTGGGCGGGTCTGACCCTGGGCGCTGGGCAGCAAGAAGATGGGAAGATGAACCAACAGACGAAAGGGGGGCCCGGCCCCATGTGGGAGGTCTGGCCAAAGCCAGCGCTCCCCGGGCTCCTGGCTCAGCTCCAGGAGCTTCATGTTCGGCACCACATGATCCTCAGGGCCACCCCAGGAGCACTGCTGCCACCAGCCCCACTGCAGATGTGGGGACTCAGGCACAGAGCTGAAGGGCTAAGCCAGGACTGTCCCAGGTGGCCTGGGCCCAGGGTCCTCAGCATGAAAGTGAGCGAATGGACTGACGGACGGCTGGGATGGGACAGTGAAAGAATGGATGGACAGACGGACGGATGGAGAAATAAATGACTTGTAGCCCTATGAGAACAACCGACTGATAGCCCTTCATCAGAACAGGGTTATTACCCATCCACTCCTATCCTGTCTCTCTCCTGGCCAACCCTCCCACCCCCAACTCCCAATTCCAACCCTGGGGCGGACCTGGCCGGCAGGGAAGGCAGACACCATCGGGTCCCCGGATGAGCTCCATGGTGTCCTCGTTGACACGTACCAGCCGGATCGGGTACACAAAGGACAGGATGCGGCTGTTGAAGCCACAGGCTCCTACCTGTAAAGGTCAAGACTTGGGCCTGGGCTCTCCACCGTGGGTCTAAAACTGGACACCGTGTGGTGTGGGGGGACACACTGCAGCGCCCTCACTCCCTCACTGGAGCTCTGCCCTCCCTCTGCTGCCAGAGCCTCCCGGGGTCCATCCACGTTCCCCAGCTGGGGTCGCACCTGGCTGTCGAAGTTGCCCAGGCTACAGTTGCACTCAGTGGCCCCGTAGAACTCCGCCACTTGGGGGATGTTGAAGCGACCAGAAAACTCGGTCCAGATGGACTGCCGGAGGCCGTTGCCCAGGGCCATGCGCACCCGGTGCTGGCGTTCTGCCTCCCGGGGCGGCTGGTTCAGGAGGTAGCGGCACAGTTCGCCGATGTACTGCACAATCTGGGGGCAGACTCAGAGTGAGTGTGGGCCCGAGGTTGCTCTCACTTCCGGCTTCCCAGTCCCTCAGGCCCTCCCCCTACTAGCTCTACCCCTCCCCCCAGGGCTAATCCTTTCCTCTCTGGGCCTCCATCTCCCCAGCTGAACAATGAACAACTGGCTGCCTCAACTGTAAGACGGAGGTCCCCAGATAGGCTGGTGGGAGGGCCATGACGGCACAGGGTTACCCCCGTCCCTCACTCACTGTGCAGTTGTATTTGATACAATCGTCCCAGAACCGGGAGGCTGAGAACTTCTTCCGGATGACCACAGTCAGGCCGTGGAGCAGGCACTGCCCAATCCCCACAATGTTCCCTGAAGGCAGAGTGGGCCCTGGAGATCAGGGACATGGAACACCCTCCCCTCTGGGCTCCCTCTTTCCTGTCCTCACCCTCCTAACACTGATGATCCTACCTCTCCCCTAGTGAGATACCTTCCACGGCTCCCCAGTGCCTGTGGGATGAAGCACACATTCCCCCAGAGCCTTCAGGGCTGGCCCCCAGTTCCTGCTCCTATTCCCTCAACACTGCCATTCAATCAGGAGGACCAAGTTGGCCTGCATGGCTTCCGCACCTCACATCTGCCTGTCTTGGGGGCACCTCTTCCAGAAGGCCTTCCCTGCCATCACTAGGCTCTCCCCTTGAGCTGAGCTCCTGTGCCCTGGGCCTCCCACACTCACCAGGCTGTTTCTTGCACCATGTGAGGTGGGTTCCCATCACTCATCCCTCCCCCTGCATGCACACACCCAACTCTAAGCACCTTGAGGGAAGGAACTGTATTTATTTCATTTGTCTCCCCTTCAAGTCCTAAAACCAAGCAGCAAGACCGTGCACGTAGAAATGAACGCAACACTCCAACCAGCTGCGGTGCCCTGTGGGACACGGTCACACATGCCATCAGGTGGTGTGCCCGTCCTCACTCAGAGCTCCAATCAATGGCCACGTCTGGATCTGAACCCTGATTTGACTCCAAAACTCCTGTGTTCCCACTGCAACGTGTTGCCCACCAAGGGCGGTGGGCGCCTGAGGCGCCAGCAGCCCTGGAGGTGGAGGGGCGGCCCAGGTTACCTGCGGAGTGGTAGAGCGGGAGGCAGTCATACACGACGTCACTGGGCCGCATGCGAAATCCGTAGTACACCAGGGAAGCCATGCGGTAATACCTGGGCAGGCGGCAGAGGGCTCAGTGGGCCCCTGGAATGGCAGAGGGGAGGCTCCCGCGTCCTGTCGCCTCCGCCCCACCCCGCTCTCCCCACACACCTGCCCCGTACCTGCTGTGCACCACGATGGCAGCTTTGGGCAGCCCCGTGGTGCCAGACGTGTAGATGTAGAAGAGCTTATCTGAAAAAACATACACGCAGGCAGCTGAGAGGGCGGCACGGGGCTGAGCGGAGCCAGGCGGATGCCTGTGCGGGCGTCATCCAGTGCCCACTGCCGTCCTGCCTCCTCCAGAAAGCCTCCTCTGATGCACCCCAGCGCCATTCTCTGCCCTAACGCCCGCGCCTGTTTCATCAACAAACTTTTTCTGGGCCCTTACTTTGTGCCAAGCCCAGGGAGACGTCGGCCACCAGGTGCTGAGCCCTTCCTGTCACACCCTAGCTTCCCATGCATCTTTTTTAATCCTCAAAAATCACGTTCTGTCACCACTCCTGATTTTAAGGCTGTAGGAACCAAGGCTTGGGGGCCACTCAGGGGGCCACACAGGGGAAGAGCGGAGCTAGGATGTGAACTCAGCCCACGCTCAGAGACACCAGGAGACACAGCAAGCTCTGTAGCGTACAGGCAGTGCAACAAGAGGGCCCAGGGGCTGCCTGGAGGAGGGCCAGGGGAGGCAGGCAGCCTGGGGCAGAGGGAGGTCTCAACCCAACAGGGGCCTGCAGTGAACGGGTGCTGGATGAGTATTTAAAGGGTCTTGCCCCTGGCCCAACCCCAAACCAAATTCAGAAACGGCAGGTTCCTGGGCTCCACATGACCCTGCATACGTTAGGCATCCACAAAGGCTTGTTTAACAAATCAGAATCGGGTTTTGTGAGCTCCGGCGTACTCGGTGCCATGCCTAACACGTTCATACGCATCAGCTCATATAACCTGCAGAGTAACCTCAGGGCTACTGTCCCCATTTTCCCAGGTGGAAAAGGGAGGTGACATGACTCACTCCAGGTCACTTGGCAAGTATGCAGAAGAACCCAGGCCTCTGGCCCTGAGAGCAATGATGTCTCCTGGACCATCTTAGACCCCCTCCTTGGGGGTGGGGGTCTCACCTGTGAAGCCCTTGTCAGGGCGACTGGGCAGGTGCTTTGGGGCTTCTTCCAGCAAGGGGTCCAGGTGCTCTGTGTTGGCAGGCACCGAGCTGGGCTCCCATGGACTGGAGCAGAAGAGGCTGAGCGAAGGGTCCAGGCTGTTGTGGATCTCAAAGACAGCTGTGGGGGAGACAGGGCAAATCAACAGGCAGGCTGGGAAGCCCAGGGTTCCCAGGAACGCTGCTCATGTCAGGGCCAGGCACCCTGCCAGGGGAGGCTGGTTGGGTAGGGGAAGGGAGGAGCACCCAGGGCCTCTATATGGGGAAGAAGATGCTGAGAGGAGCGACAACCCCCCTTAGCCACTGGCTAACTGCATGGTGGGCTCTTTACTTGCACTCTCCTGCTCACGCAGCCTAGGACGTAGGTATCAACATCTCCCTGTCGTACAGGTAAGGAAATTGAGGATCTGAGAATGGGAGGGACTTGTTCACAGCCAGAATGTGCTGAAGCTGGGAATCAAAGCCAGCTCTGTCTCACTTCAAGATTTACAATCTTACCCATTCTACCAGCCTAGTCCGTGGAGGTCTGGTGGGAAGGGAAGGGTGGGGCTTAGAGGCTAGGAGCCCTCCAGCCTCTTCAGACAGCGGGAACCTTCTCTCGGGCTCCTCTGCACATTACAGACATCCAGATGTTTACCCACCCTGAGCACGGGCCGGTCCTGGCTCATCCAGCCCATTTCCTTGGGCTTCCTTTGGATGGGTCCAAACACCTGCCTTCTCCTTGTCGGATCTTTCCTCCCTCCCTGTCAGTATCGTAATAACCTTCCCTGTCCATTATTCCACAAAGAAAGAACAGGGACAGTGTGGCTAAGCCCAGGTCAACGGTGGGTGAGTTGTGCACACCACTACGAACCTCAGTTTCCTCATCTATAAAGCTGGTGGCAATCCCTTCCTCACCAGGCTTTGTGAACGACAAGGGCTGCTCCTGTCAAGTACCACACTCAGCACTTGGCCGGTGCCCACGTGGCAGCACACGGAACAAGTCCCGCAGGGCGGCAGACAGTGGGTTCCTGTTCCCACTTTATAGGTAAGGAAATGAGGCCTAATTAGTCACAAGAATGGTGACCATTAACTCTGAGGGCTCACCTAGCATCAGCTGCTTCGTTAGGGCTTCAAGGTGAAGTGTCATCTTGAAAACGGCACGAGGGAGGTACTATAGTGAAGAAGCTGAGGCATAGAGAATTCTGGTCCCTTACTTAGGATCACCAGCTTCCCAGTGGCAGAGCTCGGGCCGTCTGACTCCAGGGCTCACGCCTTTAGCCCCTGAGCTACACAGACCTCCCCAGGGCTGGAGGGGGGCTGTGGTCTGTGCAAGGTCCCATGGGACTCCCTCCCTGCCCCCACCTCTGAGGGGCTTACCTGGGGCCATCTCGCTGCCAAAGATGAGGACCCGGGCACGGGAGGTGGTCAGGCAGTGGCGCAGGGCATCCCGCCGGAGGTTGGTGTTGATCAGTGCCGCCTCCACGCCCACCTTGGCCATGCCCAGCCACAGGCCCACAAACTCGTTGCGGTTCTCCATGAAGAGGGCAGCCACGTCACCGGAGGCCAAGCCCCGTGCCCGCAGGAAGTTGGCCACACTGTTCGAGTAGCTGTCCAGCTGGCGGAATGTCCAGTGGGTGTCTGTGCCCTCAAAGATCAGGGCCGTCTTGTCAGGGTGCCGCTGTACCGTAGAGGCAAACAAAGTGGGCACCGTCTGCCGCTGTCGCAGGTACTGCCGGACCTTCACCTTCACCTTCAGGAGCACCATGCCGCCGCTGTGTGGGAGCCAGCGAGGGGGTTGTGACTGCTGGGGCTGGGGCTGGGGGTCCCAATATCCTGGCCTGGGAGCTGCCCCATGGGCCTGAGGCTCCTGAGCCCACCACTCTGTCTAGCACCCACTTGCTGATGTGCCACAGGGACCGGGCAAGGCCTCCCTCCCCTGTACAGAGGGGAGAAATGAGGCTCTGCCGGCAGATGGCTTCCCTTCCCTGGCTTCACGGGTGGAATGTGGTAGAACTAAGATTTGAAGCCCGGTCCTCTGTGGCTCCAGAGTTCAACTCCTACTACTGTCTGTGTCTGCTGAGTCAGCTGCTCTGCCTGAGCCTTCTGGGATGCCAGGACCCCAGTCAAGGTCCAAACTCCTCTGCCAGGGCCTCCCAAGGCGCCACATCCTAGCTCCCCGCACATCGTCATGATAAATAAAGGATGAGTTTGCGATCTGTCCCATCTCCACCTCTGTGAGCCCAGCATGGGGAGGGCTCCATCCCATTCACCACCTTGTCCTCCAGCCCCGCTCAGTGCCAGGCACAGAGATGTTCAGCAAGTGTGCGTGGAATCGCTGGCCACACCCCCTTTCCTGCCCTGCCCCTGCCACCTCTGACCCCCGAACTCTCCCAGCCTCCTGGCCTTTGCTGTTGCTGCACCCTCTGGCTGGAATCCCTTGCTCCCACCACCCTGAGGTGTCACCCAAGAACAACTCCTCCTCCAGGAGGCCTGCTCTGGTCCCCTAAGGCCCCGGCCCACTGTGCGTTCCTCGCTGTCCACGCTCCCGCAGCTCTCGGCTGCTACCACCTTTCTTGCAGTGGCCACTTGATACTGCCTTTTGCAATCAACTTGGATCAACAAATGCTGAGCTTCTTGTTCTGGGTGCGGGTCCCTGTTTTGCACACTGAGACACTACTGTGAGCCAGACTGCCAGAGTCTGTGCCCGCATGGCGCTGCCAGTTTAGGGACTCACCGTGCACCCTAATTATCTCCCTGACCAGTCTACGCCTGTCCCTGCCTGGGTCTGCCTTGCTCCTCGCTGGGCCTGAGCCTGGCGCCTGGCACAGAGAAGGTGGCAGCAAGTGGTCCGGGAACAGGACATCCCTGTGGGGCACCCCTGACACTGTCTGGGGAAAAGGTTCTCCCAGACATCTGATTTGGGGCCCTGCTCTTGAACTCAGGCCAACCCAAGGACAGAACGTTTCCCACAGGGTTCCTGTCACCCGCTCACAAGCTACAGCATGTCCTCGGGACCCTTTCAGATGTCTCCTCACACACATCTGGTGTTCCATGTTATGTCCCAGGCCCCCCGGTCTGCCGCAGGCTAAGGAGCACCAGGTTAGGGAGATTTCCCAGCGGGAGGCTGGGACCTTGGAGATGGAGGTCCAGGTACTAGCGCCAGAAGGGTGTGGAGCACACGCTGTGCCTCTGGGGCCCAGGCACCCAGTGCTGGTACGGGCCATGGGTCTGGTCTGGGGAAATTTTGGGGACTAGGAGCCCAGACAGGTGTGGGAGAGTCCAGGAAGGGCTCCATCAGGTACTCACAAGACATCGCGCCTGATGGTCTTGATGAAGATCCGGACAAAGCGCCAGCCCCCGGACCCCAGGTAGAGGAACAGCAGGGAGAACCCCACTTGGGTCCATGGCAGTTTCAGCACCAGCTTGGAGAACAGCAACACTCCAATGAGAGACGCCCCGAGCAGCATTGTGACCTGTGGGCAACGGGTAGTCAGTGGGTTCAAATGTCTAGATTGCCCACGTCCTGGCCAGTCAGCCAGGCCACTAGGATGCCAAGGGGTCCACCTGTAGAGAGAATTAGCAATACTGAGTGCGGCGGCGGGAGATGGGGTCCCTTTCCAGGGCTGTCTGGGAGGGACAGGCTAGAGGCATGGGACTTGAGATGAGAAGTTCCAGGGGTGACAGGCAGGAGGCTGGATGCTAGCCCCCTTGTCCCATCTCTGCCCACGATTCTCCAAGTGGCAAGTCCCTTTCCCACGTTAAGACTTAGTCTCCCCATCTGTGCGTAACCGGTGTAGGGAGATTTGCTCTCACAAACCCTCTAGCCAAAATAGGACAGTCTATTCTCCTGACATCGTGGGTCCCTGACCAAAACGGCTTGAAGGGAGGTATTAACTCAAGCGCCTCTGGCTTGACTCCGTATCCAAAGACCTAGAGAGGTTCTTTGGATGACCAGGCCAAGCCCCAGCACCCAGAGTGGCAGCTTCCTGGGAAGGGGCCCTCTCAGTCCCTGCCCAGAGGCTCGGGTAGCGCCATGCCTCCGCTGGCCCATAGAGGGCGACAGAGCAAAGGAGGTAGAGGCCGGAGGTACCTGAGAGGTGACCGCCCAGAGAGGAAAGGTGATCGAGAGGAAAAGGGCCTTGAAGGCATCCCCACAAACGCCCTCAGCAAGCCACTCGGATAAATATTTGGGGGCTGCGCTCAGGGAGAGGGGAAAAGCTGGCTGGGTTGAAATTAGGATACTTGGGTTCTATTCATGGCGTTTTCCGAATCTGCTCAAGAGGGTAGCAGATGGGACTGAGTTTTCCTTCGGGTCCTATTATACCTAGGGAGAGGATGAAGGTCATGGCTGTAAGGTAGCCTAAGAGCCTCGAAGCCAGAATGTGGTCTGGATCACAGGGAGCCCTTACAGACCATATCCCCTTCCTTCAGGCGAAAAGAAAAAACCGTGAGGAGTACTGAACCACCGACCCCAAACCCCAAGCCAGGATCTCCAAGGTCCTCAGGCCGCTGGACTCCCAGAGCCCGCCAGGGATGGGGTGTGGAGAGAAGGGAATGCCTAATTCCTTTGGGTCCCTGTCCCAGGTCACTGCGGACAGCCCTGGCTCCTAAGGAGCCCAGGGAGCAGAGCGCCCGGAGGAGACAGAGCAGTAGGGCGCGCCTCCCACCCCAGGCCAGCACCGTCACCTACCCGCGACGGGGCCGGGCACTTTCTCCCCCTCGGAGACCCACTCGCCTGGCCTATGCTCACCCGGCGTCGGCCCCGCCGTGCGACGCCCCGTCCAGATGCGACCCGGTTGCGGCAGCGGAGTGGGGAGCGCGGAGGGCATCAGCCGCGCCTGAGCGCGCGGAGCCGGGTATCAGCAGCCCTTGGCCAGCTCTGCGCCCTGCATGGTCCGGACAGCCCCGCCCAAGGCCCGGCACCGCCCGCCCGTGGCTCTCCTCCCCCGTCAGTCTCCAGCGGCCCAAACCGGCTGCGCCAGCCGGCAACACCGCCTTCCGCGCCTTCCCCAGAGCAGGCGAGCCGCAGAGCCGGCGGCGCAGCACAGCTCCGGCGCGCCAGACGCCGCCTGGCCCAGCCCGCCCTGCGCGCACGCGACGGCCGCAGACGGCGCCCCTCGTGGCACTCTGGGAGTTGTAGTCCGTTCTGCAGAGAGGTTCCTCCCCTCTCCCCGGAGCCGCCTCGGCCCTACCGCCTTCTCCCCCAGAATCAGTAAGAGGCGCGCCTTGCCTGAGTTCTGAACTCCCAAACCGGGGGCAGCCGGACTTGGGGAAGAGCCGTCCCGCCCCTTCCCCGGCTACGTTGGCGGAGTCTGCGTATAGACCCGAGTACGGTTCGGCAAAGGCCCAGCGCCACATCTATGAGAAAGCTAAAAGGGTGGATTCAGAAAGAGAATTTAGCAAGGATTAACTCCAGTAACTGGCTCTGTTTCACAATGGCTAGCGCATTGGACTGCTACTTGAATTTGGAATGGTCATTGAAAGGTTGAGGGTTCGAGTCCCACCAGAGTCGCGCTCCTCCCTCAGTTCCATTCGGGTATTTTATGACCACAGTACCTTTAGAAGATTCAGAAGAACTGCAGGCCTGAGCTCCTCTCACCTCTGATTCTGGGACAACAATAAACTCGGTGTCTGGATTACTGAGTAGGAATACTTTCCCATCCATGGTATCTTCTAAGTAACTTGGCACACCTGGTGGTACAAAGGTCACAGATCTGGCAACCTGTAAATATTGTAACTTTGGCCTCTGATCACTCTGAACCCTGCAGCAAATCAACCTCCAAATCAGTGACCATGTTGGTCATGCCACTTGCTGAGATCTGGGTCATTGGCCAGCTTCCCAGCCCTGTGCATCTCTGGGCCTCTGAAAACTTGGTACCTTGATAATCAAAACATGTTGGGTACCCACAGTTGCCATTTGTCTTTGAGTAGATCCCTTAATCCCTTAGTCCAGTAGAAGTCTTTAAAAGGCATCTATTCATAGGGATTAAAAATTAAAACTTGGTCTGGTAAGTATTAGTATTTGAACCTATTTCTTCCAGAGTATAGGGTGCATCGTTTTGGGGGACCTAGGTAAATTAAAGCACCACCTTCCGTTTGGTGTGGGTGTTAAAATCAGGAGGCGGTGTTGCACAGTGGTTATGGGCGTGGGCATCCAACGGTCTTGGGTCAACTTCTCAGTTGAAAATTCAAAGTCTCCATTTCTTCTTCTATGTAAAAATGAGGCCATACTAACAATTACAACCTCACAGGGTTTGTGTGGAGAATCATGGGGATCATTTAAATTAGCACTTGATGTGTCAGTTGTTATTGTAGCTTACAGGCTCACAGTACCTACAAAATCTAGAGATGAAGACTGTGTCTGATTGTATCCATTAGGGCTTAGAAAAATAACAGAAACTGGATAAATATTTGTTGAATGAATGAGAGTGGATTGGAAGCACTGACCTTATCAACACCAGGATCCAGGAGTATAAATATAATTATTTCTGCATCAACTGCTGCGGTCATATGCAAAGAAGGCAAGTGAGAACCTGGAGGTTGGTGGTGACCAGCCCCTCCCCTATTCTCCCCCGCTCAGTGGGGCGGGGTCACATTGGTGAAGCTGGAGCAGTAAACCCAACAAACACTGGGCCGGGCCTGAGGGGTAGGTGCAAGGGGACATGGGAGAAACAAGGCAGTCTGCCTCTAAGTTGCTTATAGTCTACTTGGACACACAGAGAGGGCAGGTGGAGGTGGGACCACTAAGTTGTCCCTCACCAAGTGCTCACTGCACTTGTCAATGCCCACCACGTTTTTGTGATGTCTTCTTTGCTTGTAATCAGACACATCTGGGCCACACCTCCAGCCCCAACTGTGAGACATGCGGCAAACCACCTCCCCCTACGGAGCCTCAGTGTCCTCAGTGGTAGAACGGGAATACCTACCTCGTGGGGCTGGGTGTTCACTGAGATGGCGCGTGCCACTGTCAGCACAGGGCTGGCACAGGGACGGCCTCAGCTGCCGTGAAGTTGCTCAGCTCCAAGAGGGTGGGATGCAGCTGTCTGGATCACTGAGAAGCCCAAGCAGTCAGCAAATACTTAGGAGATATTTGTGAAACGATTTAAGACTAGTGGGCTCGTGCATTGGGCTTCAAGGGTTAGGGAAGGCCGCGTGGTGGAGTGTGATTGGAAAGGACTTTGTGCGCCAGACCGAGTTTAACCTGGTGCAGTGGAGGCATCAGAGGTTCTTAGGAAGGTCAGGAGCTGGGCGCTGTCACTTGTGGGACATGTTCTGCTTAGGCTCCTTTCCACGGACATGACCCCCATCTGCCCTGCATTAGGGAGCTAACATCACCACTTAAACCTCAGACTTACCAGAGACTGACATCTGGACTTGAATTGAACCTCCCAAGGATCGAAGTGGTGGGGCCCCTGGCACACGGCAGGCGCCTGCCCCGTAGATTCAGTTGTGTTTGGCATTAGGCACCTCTGAGCCATCAAAGTCCTCCCGCTCTGGGTGTGTGCAGAATAAATACCTCTGGCTTACGTGTACCTGCTGACTTCAGAGGCCTCAAGGGGCGTTCGTGGCAAATGACAGCTCCCATTTCCTAAGTGTTTACGCCCTGCTGAGGCACTCCCCAGGCGCGTGGCCCTGTGGCGACACAGGTGTACACTGCCTGTTTCACAGAGCAGAAAACAGAGGCTCGAACAGATGCCGTGACTACTGCCAGGGTGCGGGGCTGGCCAGCAGCGGGCCAGGCCTATCTGCCTTTAGCACCTGTGCCCCCAAACACTGCCCTGGGATCAGCGACATGAGGCTTTTATCAGGCAGAAGGGAGCTTCCCCTTGGCTACTGGGAAAGGGCTCAAGACCTGTGCATCCCAGGACATGCTCCACCACACCCCAGCGGTGGGACCCTAGGACACTCCCTGAACCCAAGACCATGAAGTGAGGTTGTGTTGTCGTGAGGACTGAGTAAGACCTTGCACGCGGGAGACCCAGCATGGGGCTCACCATCCACTCCTTTGATGACAAAGCAACAAGCCCCCGCTGTGTGCCCAGCATGGTTCCCGGCAGCGAAGGGGAAGAGCAAGGTCCCTGCCCTCCTGGAGTCGATGCAGAACTTGCACATAAACACTTTCAGAGTGGTAAGCAAGAAAACCAGGTGATGTGATGGAGCGAGGGGGCTGCTTCAGCTGGCGTGATCAGGGAAGGCCCCTCTAGAGGTGACATTTGAGCACTGATGTGAACCAGAAGCTGACTATATAATGAGCTGGGAACAAAGAGAGGAAAAAGGCCCACATGGTTTATTGAGATGAATGTGTTTCCAGGCAGAAGTTGATAGGGCCTCAAGGGCTACGTAAGAACTCAGTAAGTGGTCACGATTTGCTAGTATAACTTTCTGCCTTTGTTTGCCAGGTGGCGACAGGCCACCCTATGATCTGCACACAGGGAGCTCCCACAGCTAATCTGTTGCCCGGTGCCCATCTCTCGAGTGCTGTAAAGGCCCAGGGTTATGCGGGCACCAAGGAGCAGGAGCAGGCGAGCTGCCAGGCTGGGAAGAGGATATCCGGGTCTGACCTTCGTCCCCTGGCCTTGGCACTGTGCCTTTTTCACTGACCTGGGGACAGGGGTGCCTGGGACCCTGGAAAGCCATGGAACAGCTGGCAGGTCTGGAAAGGTGGCCAGTACTGCCAAGATCAATGAGGTATGAGGAGTGTATGCCAACCCTCTGCTCTTTCTGCAGAAATTCAAAGAGCCCAGGAAAAGGCTGCCCTCTTGGAAAAGGCTGCCCTCTTGGAAAAGGCCATGGTTCGAGGTCAGCCTCCAGCCTCCTGCGCCCGCCCTCTGCCCTTGGGCACGGCCCTAGACCGGGATGGGGCCGGCACGAGGAGCGCTGAAGCCCTGGTTCCAGCGCTGGCTCTGCTCCTATTGCCTCATTAGTGAAACACAATAGCACCACCTCCCTCGACTGCTGATGTCAATGTGATAGTTTCTAAGTGCTTGGTACTGCCTGGCACATAGCACAGTTCTGACTACACTGTAGCTGTTATTAACCATAGGGAAACTGAGGCACAGGAAAAGCAAGCAGGAGGCCTTGCAACCTGTGTTCTGGTTAACCCAGGGGATTGCTTGCCCATCTCTGGGCTTTCATTATCTTATCCACCCAGGACTCCATAGACTCGGCCATTCTGGCCGTGCATCTTGTTCTGAATCCAAAGACAGAGGCACCCACACTTCCACAATCCCTTTTACCCTGTCTGTCCCCACTCCTTGTCTCTGATCCAAGGTTGCTGCTCCAAACTGACCTGCCTGCCTGGCAGCTGCCTCTTCCACCTACAGACACAGAAATGCAATCACTCCTGCCCCTTGGTAAGTCTTTCTGCTAAACACCACCTGATAAAACTGCCACAATAACCATAGGAGGTGGATGCTGTTTTCCTTTTCCTCTTACTGATGAAGTGGGCTGAGGAGGGAGGGGACTTGCCCTGAGTCCCTCTGCTGGAAACCTGTAGAGTTGGGAGCTTGAATCCATTTGCCCAACTTCAGACAAGGAGTGGGGCAAGTGACTGAAGGGCAGGCTGGAGGGGGCGTCTCTTCCCGGGGCCCACAGGCGCAAGGCTGCCGGCATCAGCCAGCACTGGGCAAAGGCCGGGGAAGCAGGCATTTGGCCTGGTGGGAGCCTCCATTCCCACAGCAGAGACTCCTCTCCCCTCTGCCTCCCTGTTCTTGGGCCTCCGGGCTTGGGTAGAGTCGCCCCTCCCAGGAGGACAGATAGCCCTGGCTGGCAGGGAGGGGTCTAGGATATGGGCATGGACCGGAGACAGCCGGGAATGGGCCCGGAGGACGGGCTCCTGTGCACACATGGTTCTCTGTGGGCGGCCCCGGCTCCCTGTGCGCCCTTTGCACTGGCTGCTGCCTCCTGGGTTGGTCCTCAAAGCCACTCAGCAGCGGTTATGACAAATTCTGATAAATGACGTCCAAGGGTCAGTGTTCAAAGAAAAGGAACAAAGGCAGTGACAAAGGAGCCCTCTGCTCCCAGGAAGTGGGTGGGGAGCTGGGGCGGGCCCCCCTGGCTCAGCGGCTCAGGGCCTAGGCCAGGCCCCGGATGTGCCTGGGGGGGCCCGTGATGCCCAGCTCCCCCCGCAGAGCTGTCAGGGGCTGCTCCCAGCGCCGCTCGTAGTACAGGTTGAGGACACAAGGGGCCCTGCGCCCATTCTGAACTGCCCACGGGATCAGCTCTGAGACCAGCACTTGCAGGTGCCTGTGGGCAGCAGAGAGAGACGGAAACAGAAGGTCCTGAGGCCCAGCAGCTGATGTACATTTTCTCAGGGAATCTTCACACAGACCCAGGGAGAAGGCAGTCATCGTCACCAGTTTTGAGTGAGGAGACAGAAGCTCAGTGTGGTCAGAATCCCATGCCCAGAGCCACATGTCCACCAACGCCAGAAACGAGTGATAGATTGCCCCCCAGCCGCAGCTGCACCCTTCTGACCCAGCACTGAGGCCTGGCCCAAGAGACCCCAGGGTCCCACGAAATGTCTGGGCTTCCTCTGTTGCTCTGGAGACCCTGCCAGGCCAGTCTCACCTCTCGGCCCCATTCTCTCTACCCTGGCTCCCTGGGGCGCCCGGAGGCTGCATGCCCTTCCACTTCCTGGAGCCCTGGCCCCTCTGAGGTCTCCCTTGACCCCCCACCACCTGAGAACTTACCGGGCACGGAGTCGGACTGGTCCGAAGAGCGCCCCCAGGATGCACATGGGCAAGCCGGTCTGGACAGCCTCAAACCACTTTACCACGATCTCCCCTGGGGGCAGGGAGGGGGGTGGGGTAGGAGGTGAGGAGGGGCAGGAAGAGAAGCCAGTGGAGCTCAAGGCCTTGGACAGTGAGGCGCCTGCTTCTCTCTCAGGTGCCTCTTACCTATGAGGGGCAGCAATGCCCAGCCTACTCTGTGCTGTGCCCTGGGCCACTTGGCTGGGAGTGGAGGACAGGGCCCAAGGATGAGTCAGAGGAAAGCCGGGTGGGAAGGAGGCCTGGGGTCGGAATGCAGAGGCCTCTACAGCCAGGCTGGTTCCTCCAGACCTTGGGGAGCTTCTGAGGGAGTCAGAAGAGGGAGCCCTGATGCCTGGATGCCGCCATATCTGTGCAGGAGCCATAGGAGGCGGCGGGGATGGCACAGGCTCTGCCCGCGTGTTTGGGGAAAGCGGCAAATGAGGCACCGAGCCAGCTAACCGGTGCGGGGCAGAGGTGGGTGAACCCGGCCTGGGCCCCAGCACGGACCCTGGGGGCAGGCTTGTTTGCGTGCCCTCACCCTGCCCACCCCCCTCTCCGGGCAGCTGGCGAGGTGGCACTCACCCAGGATGTTGGTGGGCATCCCCAGCAGGGTGTGGAGCATGTCGTGCACCTCCCGGTACCGCTGGATCACGTAGGCCAGCTCCTCATCGTCCACGAATCGAGTGGGCGCTCGGGTATCTGGGGAGACCCTCTGACAACCGTGAGCCTCCCTTAGACCCCTCCCCACAGTTCCCAAGGTGCAACGGCCAGCCTCCCCTCGCTTCTGTCAGCCGCTCCCACCACGCTCAAGCCCCAAATACTCCTGGCACTCGGCTTCTGTCTGCACCTGCTGACAGGGTCTTGGGGCGGGGGGCAGGGAACGTGGTGGTACTGACAGCCCCTCAGTCTGGGCGACTCACACGCACTGCACGCGGCCTGCTGGACTCCGTGGTAAAGGAGCCCCAGCGGGGCTGCGGGGAGCAGGCGTTGTGTGACGGCAGTTTCAGCTTTGCAAGATGTGAAGGTGCTGGAGACTGGTTTCACAGCAATGAGGGTAAACTGGATACTTCTGAGCCGTCCATTTAGAAACGGGTAAGATGGAGTATTTTGCGGCTTTTTTTTTGTTTGTTTGTTTTACCACAATTAGAAATTGAATAAAAAGTTCCTTAGCACAAGCTAAGGACCCCTAGGGTGCCTTAGGAAGATCCTAGGGTGCTCTCTCCCACCACCCTCATCTCCGCCTCGGCAGTTCCTGCTCATCCTTCATGACCTGGCTTAAGCGTGCCCTCCCTGGGGAGCCCGTTCCCAATTGTCAGACTGATCAGGCCCATGTTACGGTCCCGCGTAGCGCCCTGAACTTTCCTGTGGCACTCAACATGATCGTGTCGTGACGTTTCCCATGTGTGTTTGTCAATGTCTCTCTCCCAGACCTGGGCTGTCCAGTAGAGCACCACTTGCCACATGTGGTCACTGAGCCTTGAAATGTGACAAGTTGCAATTGGGAGGTGCTACACATGAAAAATACACACTGGATTTCAAAGACAGTATGAGAAAAATGTCAACTCTCAATAATTAAAAAATATTGACTACATGTGAAAATGATAGATTGGGTTACACATTATTAAAATGAATTCCACTTTTTTTTTCTTTATTAAAGTAGCTAGTAGCAGATTTTAAATGTACTACGTGGCTTGCATTCTGTTTCTACGAACAGTGCTGCATCAGCCTGTCAGGCACGCAGGACAGGGGGCGGGCTGTTCTGATCATTGTTCTGTCTTCAGGGTCTGCATGACAAGGCATCTCCTGAATGCACGGCTACAGGGTCAGTCCCGGGCACTTTTCCAGCCCCAGGTGGGAATGTGAACTGTCCTCGCTTTGCCCACCTGCTGCCTCTCTGAGTCTCAGGAGCACACACACGGAGCAGGAAGAGCCTGCTGTTCCTGCTCCCAGGGCAGGCCCTCAGCCAGCCCGGAGGCCGTGAGGTTCGGTGCCTTCACTGCATTGGGGCGGCTGGCTCAGTGCCATGGTCTGTCTGTAGCCTCACTGGGTCCTGGGTCCCAATGGCTTCCGCAGCGTTCTATTTGCTGTGTGAAGCTGTAGGAGAGCGTAGCAACAGCAGCTACACGTACCGAGTCCCTACAATGTGCCTGCACTGTAAGATGACCTTTACCTATGTTATACTTTCTCCTCCTGACCATCTAGGGGGCAGATGCTGTTATGAGCCTCAGATACAGGTAAGAAAAAACCAGGCTCAGGGAGATAAAGTATCTTGCCCAAGATCATACAGCTGATCAAATGGCTCAGCAGGAATTTGAAACAAAGTCTGCTGGATCCCAAAGCCAGCAGCTTTAACATCCACCGGGGACAAGCCATGCAAGGGCCCTGGAAGAGGAACATTAGATCCCTTTTCCTCGGATAAAGCCTTGGAGAGGCCAAATGGCTTGCCCTGGCCATTTGCTGAGCCTGGACAATAATGCTGAGAAGAGAGGCAGGATTCTAACTCAAGCCACTCTTTTTTCTTATTCAACTCAGGTGACTCTTCACTCCCAAGCTCATGCCTGTAGTCTTGATGCCACAAGGATGAACACACTCCCTACCAACGTCCACCTCAGGGAGGGCGGCCTCACTTTGAACCTTGATCTAAATCTCCGCCGGTACAAAGGTGTTCAGCCTTGTATGGGCTGCTGGTTTCTGTCCTCTGGAAGTGTCACAATCTCTAGGGCTGTTCCACCAACCAGGGCTGTGACTGGTAGAGCGCTCACAGAGGCCCCGGCCGTCCTGCCCGCGCCCTCCACTGGTCACAGGACAGAAGGCTCAGCGGAACTGCAGAAGGCGGCTGTCCCTCACTAGGTGACACTTGGGGCAGGTCGCCCTGGTGGGTTTCCCACTGATAAAGAAACTCGCATGCTGGTCAAATCTGAGGACAATGGTTTAAAGTGGGACGGGGCAAGTGTCAGAAATATGGGGGGACAGGTTATTTTTCCAAGGATAATAACCTTCTAGGGCAGTGGTCCTCAACTGGGGACATTTGTGGGTGTTACAAGTTAGAGGCGGGGGCTACTGTTATCTGGGGGGTAGAGGCCAAGGATGCTGCTAAACATCCTGCAAGGCACAGGACAGCCCTCCCCACAGGAAAGAACTACATGGCCCAAAACGCCAATAGTGCCAAGGAGAGAGACCCAGCTCCAAAGAAGCCTTCACTCACTCCTTCACCCCTCCAGCCCGCTGGCCCTGGCAGCTGGGCTGGGCAGCCCCTCCAGAGGCCCTCTGTTGGAATGGGTATGTGTTGGCAGGTGGGGATGGGGGCGAGGAAGGTATCTAGCTATAGCCTGAGGACCTTTTATAAACCAGGTGTTACTCTCCTGCCTGAAGTCCTCAGTGGCTTTCTGTTGTTCCTATTACAAAATACAGACTCCTCCCCGTGGTTGGCTGGATCCGGCCTGGCTGACCTCCCAGCCCAGGGGCCGCCTCCCGTGACTCTCTCCTCTGCCACCCCATCAGTCGGTTTCTCTTTTCCTTAAACGCACAGAGCCTTGCACTCGTCAGTCCCTCTGCTCAGAATGTTCCTCTTGTCTCCCCTCAGGCTGCTCCTCCTCCTCTGCTAAGTCTCCTCAGAGGGGCCACCACGATCACCTCATCAAAAGTGGTCCCATCACCCTTGTCCTCTCTCCCGGTGACTGCTGTCCTCACAGGGCTGTCTTCTAGAATGGAAGTCCCACAAGGCAGGCTCTTTGCTGACTTTGTTCATTGTATCCTAACTGCTATGAACAGTGTCTGGTAAGTTCTAAGTACTCAATAAATACTTTGTATGAATTTTTATATGACAATTTCTTCCTTTTATGGCTTTAGTTACCTCCTCAACCATAATATTAGCTCCCTAAAGGCAGGGACCTTGTCTGTCCAGTTCACCATTATGTCCCCAGGACCTGGAACAACGGATGACACATGCCAGACGCTAAACAAATGAACAAGATCCTCAGTGACTGGGACCCTCCCCTCCCCCTGGGGCTGGACAGCGCCGCAGTTTGTCACACTCTAGGGAAAGCATGGTTTCTGGAACGGGGGACACAGCGCGGCAGTTAACAGCATGATCTGGGTTCGCACACTGGCTACATGAAGCCAGCAGGCAGCTTAGCTCCTCTGTGCCTCACCTTGATTTGTTACAGGGGATAATAGTAAAACATATGGACAGGGTTACTGGGAGGATTCAGCAAGACCATGTATGAGCCTGGCATCTGGGACGCAGCAAGAAGTTAATAAGTGCAGGCCAGTGTTATCGCCTGGGGAAATGTTACCAGCCTGTTTACCTGTCCCATAGAAAATGACAAAGCCTTGGCACAAGAAACTGAAAAACATTCCTGCCCACGATGGCAGCTTAGGTTCTGCCCTCCTGAGGACGTCACTCCCATATCACTGATCTGACCTTTCGGTGATGGTCACGTGCACAGAACCTGGAAACTCACGTTCACATCCAGGAAACGAAGATACTCGCGGCCAAGGGAGCCCTCTGGCAGGCTCTGCAGCTTGCCCAGGTCCAGGGTGGACAGAGAGATCCGGGGACGTTCCCTGCAAGGCACAAGGCAGGACTTGGGTGTGGGGAGGGTCCAGCAAAGGCTGGTGAAAGGTTCAGTTAGAACAAGGCTATGAGAGGTGAAGAGGCAGGGCAGCTACTGGGCCACCAGTCCTGATAGAGCATCTTCTAGGTGGCAGGGACTGAGGAGACTACCATAAGCTAAGGTCGTGGTTCCTGCCCACAGGGGCACAATCTAGGCAGGAAGGCCTCAGGTGTGACCAGGGTACTCACAAAGGGCACTGCGGAAAGGGGTAGGGGGTGTGGCCGGCATGTGTTATGGGAGCTTAGAGAAAGTACAGAGCCCTGTGGCTGGAACTGGGCCGAGGTCACCACACAGCACTACCCAGGGGTCACCATGGTGTCTACATGAATGGCATCCCTGGAGTTGGGCAGTGCCCAGCCTGTGCATCTGTCCCTACAGGAACAGGACAGACACAACGTGACTCTAGAGAAAACAGGGTCCCCACAGAATATTCCCAACCCCTGAGACAGAGCTGGGACCTACTGCAGGACCTGGGCGCCTTCTGGATCCCTCTTCATCTGGTCCCTGAGGACCTTCAGGGCACGGCATCCTGTGGTCTCCCCTAGAACTGCCACCATGTCTGAAGGAAAAGAAATTGGGACAAATATAGGATATATTCTTGCGTCAGTTACTTGACCTGGTCTGAGCTTTCATTTCCAAATGATAAAACAGGATGCAGTTCCTGTTTCTCTTAGTTATGAGGATGCATGTTAAACACTTAGCAAACCATTCTGCACACAGTTCAGGTTCAACATGCTTATAATTATTAGTATTAATGTCATTAATCTACTGGGATGAGGTGGTTCTGGTTAGCACAGTGCTCTCAGGAGGTTACAGATCACTTTCACGTCCATTATCACAGCACAATATAATGTCTCCATTGCCAGGCACAACCTTTGTTATCAGAGTTTGGAGCTTGAGCCCAGGTGCAGGCACTACCTAGGTGGTGATGTGCAAACTGCTTCACATTTCCAGCCTTCAGTGTCCTAGTTTGTGAAGTGCAGATAACACCTTTCTAACAGAGTTAATGTGAGAAGTCAAAAACATTATGCATATAAAACATTTAGCACAGTGAACAGCCAGAACGGGCTCAGTGAGCAGTTGCATTATTGTTTTTATTAGTAGGAGTAACAGTACTCCCCAGACTTAAGAAGTTTGGGAGGGATGAGAAAGGCATCGTAGAACCCTAGGAGGTTCTGGTGATACATGCAGCAAATATTTATTGAGCACTTATTACAGGCAAAGCACTATCCAAAATTCAGTCGGTACAGAAGATCAACGCAGTCATGGTCCCTGACTTTATAAAGTTTAATTTCTAGTGGGATGTTATCATTCGATGGGTGCTTAAAAATCATCTGTTTAGTCCAGAGGTTCTCATGGTGGCTGGATGACAGAATACCCTAGAAAGTAGTTTCAAAAGGCAGAAGCTCAGATTCCAGGCCCCTCCCTCCTGTCCCTCTCCACACCTGACAGATACGGACTGAGTTCAGGGTGGGACCCGGGCTTCTGCACTCTTATGAATGTTCCCGGCGATTTTGAGGTACAGCCAGGTTTGGGTACAGAAACCTAGTCTATTCTCCAGTTACCCGTAGGAAACGGAAGCCCAGACAGAGTTCGGGAGTCGCCCAGGCTTCCAAGGCAAGGGCCTCCCGGGAGCGTAGGGCGCTGGCGGCCTTACCGTGGCGATACGGGTTGTAGAGAGCCATTCCGGCAGAGCCGGCAGCCAAAAGCGCCTTCTGCAGCGGGGAGGTGGGGATGTGTTCGGGGTAGAGCAGGCCAGTGCCATGGCTCGCGGCTCGGAAGGGCACATCTGCCGGGCAAGAAAAACGCCGCTATCAAACGTGTGTGTATGGGAGGGTGGGGACACAGGACTCCTTCCCGCCTCCTCCACTTGCCTGCAGCGAGCGCAGGGAGACCTCGGAGCAAGCGGAGCGGTCGCACGGCCCCACACAGCAACGTCGCCATGACAGCACGCACTTCCCTAAGGCCGCGGGAGGACACGCGGGGCAGGGCGGGTGCTCCAAGCTTCCTTGGCAACGGAGCGCCGGAGAGGTCAAATCAAATGACCTCTATCCCTGTTACACTGAGTAGGACCTTTTGGGAGGAGAAATCGTAGCACGGACTGGAAAAAGCCCTATCGTTAAGTAGGAGGAAAACCCAAGCGGTCTGTCTGCCACCTACTCTACCGATGTAAACGTCTCCCTATTTCGCTTCACCCCAAGAAAGGGTCTGTAAACAAGCCCTGCTAGCATTGGGGTTCAGCGCCGGACTGTGTTTCTTTTTCCGCAGCACCTTTCCCCCGAGGATAGTAAGAGGAGAACCGTTTCCGGCTGAGACGCTGGACGGCGCCCGTGGGGAGGACTATATTTGGGTGAGGGACCGTACGACACTTCCGTCCGTCCAGCTTCGCCGCGAGCCCGGACCGCCGGCTTCAGTCATGGGGTCCGCCAGCTTGGCGCGGTTGAACGGGGTCTTTGCGGCCTACAAGCCCCCGGGGCTACACTGGAAGCACCTGCGGGATACCGTGGAGCTGCAGCTTTTGAAGGGTGAGTGGCTGTAGCCAGATCCATGGTTGCCCTCCAGTTCTTCCCGGAGTCCATTTCCGCCTCGAATCCTCTAGCAAAATAAAGCCATGTGACCTAGTCGCCTGGGCAGAGCGCTTTCCTATTCATGTATTGTGTATTTTGTTACTCCTCACTTCTTTTTGTGTTCAAAAGCGTAAATAGACTCAGTATTGTCTGTTGTCATAAGCAATTAATAAAGAATAGAGTCAGAATGTGAACTCAAGTCTGTTGCTTCCTAACTACTTGCTATTGCGTTCGCTGAACCGCGGGCCCTTTTCTGTCTCCTGCATCTCCGTACTTCCCTGGTCCTCCTTCCCAAGGTGATCGAACAAAATTGACAAGATGCCCTTTACCTGTGTATGCTCAGGTCTCAATGCTGGGAAGCCTCGTGCCCCTGAACAGCGTGTCCGCTTCCTGCTGGGCCGGGTGGAAGGCAGCGAAGAGAAGGAGCTGAGCCTCACAGCCACCAGTGTGCCCACCCTCACCAACCACCCGCTGGGTAAGGCACATAGAGGCAGGGGCTTGGGTGTCACTTCCCAGGAAGTCTACCCAGAGAGTGTCCCCATCTGTGCTCAAACTCCTGACCCAGACCTTTGAAGGGCCACAGTGGAGATGAAGTATTTGACAAGGAATATGCAGATTTTCCAGGTAGTAAATACTTGAGGCTTTGCAGGCTCAGTTCTGCCATTGTAGTGCAGAGCAGCTGTCTGCAAGGTGTAAAAGCAATGAGCCTGGTGTGTTTCAATAAGACTTTATGGACACTGAGATTTGAATAATTTTTTGAGTTTCATATAATTTTCATATATCACAAGATAGTATTTACTTAAATTTTTTTTAACCATCAAAAAAGGGGGGAAAAATTAACTTATGGGCCATTACAAAAATAGGCTTGAGGATTTTGCCTGCGGACTGTCGTTTGCTGATCCCTCTACTCTTCTGGGACTTCAGGTGGGAATTGAGACTCTTAGGTAGAAGTCCTAAGGAAGTAAAGTCAGGAGGCTATCAGAGGACCAAGGGGCTTGACCGAAAACCTTTAAACCCCTTCAACAGTGACATTCAGTGACTCTACAGTATAACAATAACAAGGATGATGTATTAACGATCTACTTTGTCCTGGGTACTTCACTAAGCTTTTTCCAAACACCACCTCCTTGAATCTTCATCACAATCTTGTGAAGCGAATCCTATTCTCACTTCACAAATGAGGAAACTGAGGGTTGGTGTTGACATTAAGTAACATAGTCTGGATCCAATAGGCTCCTTACCATCCCATTCCTTCTCCCAAGATTCCTTTTCATCTACAGAGGTGTAAATGTTTGTGGTGTATTCCTGCATTCACTCCATTTTTTTTAACAGCTTTCTCGGTATACCCAAAAAACCCCTACACATATTTTAATGTATCTATTTGGATGATTCCTTCATTCTTAAAGTAGTTACTCTCTCAGCAGCTAGTGAGTTCTAGGTTCTGCGGGTAGAGCTGTGAACAGACAGAACCAGGCTCTGCCTTAGGGAGCCCAGAGCCTCCATCTCCTCAGCAGGAGAGTGGCCAGGGCTCGCGGGCAGGAGCTGGACAGGGAGCCCTACAATCTTGATTTCCATCGTTGATTCCCTTTGTTTTGCCCAGCCCCTACAATGCTGATTCCTATTGTTATGCCCATTGAGGGAATGGTGAGAGGTAAAGTAACAGGCGTCTTAGGGTGCCCTTTCCCTGGGCCCAGGGAACTGAAAAAACAGTTCTAGGCCCCAGATTCCATGGTGGAGAAGCCTGCAAGTCCAACCTGATCCTGGTCTGCTCTCCGCGAGGCTCTAGGAGTGAGTCACCACACAGCCCAGAGCCATCCTTGTCTGTTGAGGAAGGCCGCCTCATTTGCTTCTTTCTAGTGTGCGGACCAGCATTCACCAGCCTGAAGGTTGGCGTGGGACACCGGCTGGATGTCCGGGCGTCTGGGGTGCTTGGTAGGTGATGCGGTGGGCCTGGGCGCGCAGTGCTGCATGCTGCGGGGGATCGGGGATGTGCAGGAGCCCAGCCCACGTTCAGCTTGACAGCCGCTTCCCACCACTGCTCTCCTCCCCTGATTCCTGCCCCAAGTCTGATCAGCTGGTAGAAGTGGGGAAGTCACAGCAACCCGTCTTTATCGAGTAACCCTTGCATGTGATGTGGTACAGAGCCATTTGTGCGTATGTATTCACCATGGTAAACGTACTCGGTAGATATTGTATGATTTTGTGGATGAGGAAAGTGAGGATCCACAAGCTTAGCTGGCTTGTCATGAGTCCCATGCTAGTGAATGCCTGGGTCCAGAGAGGGGAAGCCATCTTTGTTTGCATGGGGTGGCCAAGCATGTGCCTCTGGCCTCACTAGCCAGGATCTGGGTGTCGCTGGAGCTGGACACACAAAGCCCTGAGTCATGAGCCATCTGTGTGCCCAGGGTCAGGTGGTGTCCACATCCTCCGAATGCGACAGCCAGAGCTCCCGTGTCTTGCTTCCTGGAGCGCTGGCAGGCAGACATGACCTCATGCCGCCTCCCTCTCTAGGAGTGAAGGGGGGGGGGGTCATTCTCTCCTGCAGCCAGAGAGACAAACAGAGCCAGGGGAAGGCAGGAGTGAGTGGCCACAGTGCTCGTTTCTGTGGCCCTTCCTCTGTGCTGACTCCCCTCGTGCATTGTCTCCGTCTTTACGGCGCTACAGGGGTCAGACAGTATTTTAATCCCCTGATTACCGATGGGGAGCCTCAGCCCCCAGGAGGATGAAGGACGTGCTTAGAGCCACCCGAGTTAAGTACAGGTCTGTGTGACTGGGCCAATGGGCTCTTACTTCCAAGTGCATCAGAAGCCCCTGAAGGGCTCGCTAGGCATCCTCGTCCCCTCTTTACTGCAAGTCAGAGTGAGTGCATGTGGGTGGGGCCCAGAAAGCTGCATTTTCATGTATACCCAGTGGGGCTCGCTTGCTCCCTGTAGAAGCTTTCCTTGCCCCCTTGCTGGCTTCAGCAGCGCTGGAGGCGGGAATAGCCTGGTGGCAGGCATGGGAGTTGGGGGTCTCAGGGGAATGGGAAGCGGGGGCCAGGTGTAAGGTCAGCCCGGGTGTCTTTCAGTGCTCGGCGTGGGACATGGACGCAGCCTTCTTACCGACATGTACAACGCTCACCTCACCAAGGTATGGGGACGGGGGCCTGGGGACAGCTTGCTTATCCTCTGGCCCTTCCCCTGGGAGTCACTGGCAGTATTCTGAAGCTGAGAGAAGGCCCTTGGGACCACCTAGGCCATCAGAAAGCATTGTCCTACAGGACATGTAACAATAACGGAATAGTGACGGCTGGCGTTACTGTGCGCCGACTGCGTTATGCCCAGGACTGTACGTGGCCTCCCTCATGGACATCTTACAACTTCCTTGCAAAGTAGGGTCTGTTGTCAACGCATTTTGCAGGCGAGAGAACTCAGAGGATGTCGCTCGCCCAGGGTCACATAGCCTGAAAGGGACAGAGCTGGAATTTGAACCTGGATCTTTCCGACACCAGAGCCTGATCATGACACCACGTCATTCTCTCCCCAAGACAGAGTACATGTCACTGTTCAGTCTGGGGCTGGGGGGTCACGTTAGAGGGCCTGTGTTTTTAATGGTTAAGAACACAAATTCCGGAGCCAAAACCAGCTTCTACCTCTGCCGGCTGTGGGTTCCTGGGCGGATTACTTAACATATGTGCGCCTCCATTTCCTCATCTCTTAAATAGAAATGATAATAGCACCTCCTTGGTATAGGCTCACTTTGAAGATTAAATTAGTGACTGCGTGTGACATAGTGCAGTCATTGGCGCATGGTAAATGCTCCATCAGTATCACCGTTGTCATCTCTGTCGCCATCTGATTTGTGGCAGAGACATAGATCATACTTGGGTGGAGAGAAGCCGACGGGGCATGCTCAGAGGGGCCCGGCACGATAAACCGTCGGGTTTGCCTGGGGTGCAGAGTTGGTAGGCATGGGGTGGTCGCAGTATGTCCGTCAGCGCCCTTTGCAGGCTGCCAGTCCTGACTGTCATAGGAAGGTCCAGTGCCCTGCCCCAGGGGGGTAGTGGGGCAGCCGGGCGGGGGCTGAGCGCCTCAGCTCCCTGAGGGAAAGCCTGAGAGCCCCCCACTCTAGCCTCAGTCCAGCACCTCCTTCCCCAGCGCTGAGGCTTGAAGCAGGGACACAGCCAGACCCTCCCATCCCTGTCCTCGCAGGATTACACGGTTCGCGGCCTCTTGGGCAAAGCCACAGATGACTTCTGTGAGGATGGACGGCTGGTGGAAAAGACGACGTACGGTGAGAGCCCACGGGAGCCCAGGGCGGGGGCAGGCGCCGCTGTGCCTGCCCCTGCGTTTGCTTTCCCTGGCTTCCTCCCGCAGCCCGCCCCACTCCAGTTACCCTTAGACACACCAGGCTTGCGCTGGCTACTGGGGGCTTTGGACACAGTGTTCTGTCTTCCAGGAATGCTCTGTGCTCCCCTGTGCCTTGTCACCTGGCTTAAATATCACCTCCCCGGGGAAGCTTCTCTAGCCCCTGGACTTAGACTGGGTGGGCTCTTCAGAATAGTCATCAACTAACAATTAGTGATTATTTAACATCCACTTTCTGACCAGACTCACCCATGAGAGTAGAGACTGTAATTTGACACCTGAGATCACACACTGCTCAGGGCCTGGGCGGTGGGAGGTGCTCGGTAGATGGGGCAGGTGGATGGATGGATGGACAGACAGACATACGGATGGGAGATGAGTGACGAGAGACGGGCCGGGAGGGCCATTCTTCACGTCTCACTCTCCCCCTGTTCTAACGTGTTCCATAAAGTGTATTGCATGTGTTTATTTGACACATGGTTTTGGGCACCAGCTGCGTCCCAGGCACTGGAAAGACATACGGTAAATCAGATGGGGTCCCCAGTCCCAGTGACCTCAGAGTTTCGCAAGGAGAGGGACACAGCTGTACATCTGGAGAAGATGACAAACACGGCAAGGCAACAGTGTGTGTGTGTATGTGTAGGTGTGTGTGTCAGCATCCAAAACACGCGAAGACAACCACCAAGTAGATAGTTCTGGGAGGGTGGAAGCCAGAATTCGGAGAAGGGGAGATACTTGTTGGTGCTGACCTGAATTTCTTCAAAGAACATTCATCTGTCAATTGCATAATTTAAAAATAATGTAAAAACTAGAGAAAATTAAATGGTGGGAAAGGGGCCCGGGTGCTGAGCGGCAGAAGCCAGGGGGACAGAGCAGTGTGCTCCGGGGGCGCTGGAGGAGGCAGCGTTTGAGTTGCAGGAAATGAGGGGTGGGCAGCGGCAGGTGCACTCCAGGTAAGACAGCAGCAGGGAGGAAGCCAGGCGGTGGGGTGAGGGGGCTGGGCCCTTCCGCGTGGGCAAGGCTTTGGCTGCCGCACCTGCTCCCAACCCTTGGGCCATAAGCTGGCACCTGCCCCAGCCGGACAGCAGGCTCAGCCTGTCAGCGGAGTTTGAGAGTGTCCCCAGGCTTCGCTGCTGCCTGCCCCACAGTCAAGCGATGGGACCAGCAGGCAGAGCAACTCCCACTTGGCCACCTGTTTCTGCACTTGGACAGATGGTACCCGCCCTCCCAGGGTTCCTGGCACAAAATACCATAGACTGGGGCTCAGGAGGTCTGGCTCAGAATATTAGGCAAAAGCCACATTATGTCTTAGAGCTTCATTTTCAGATGAAAACTTTTTTAATGTGGAGTCTGTGAGCCCATTGAAAATGTCCTTAAAGTCCTGAGTTCATGTGTATCTTTCTGAGAAGAGCGGCCTGAACTTTCATAAGATTCTCAAAGGCCTCTCAATCCCCACATGGGGCCCCTGGGATGAGAGGGTGCTCTGGGATCCCCTTCAGATTCCAAGGACGGGGCTGGTTTGGGGAGGGAGTTTGTCAGTTGCTGCCCAGCCTCCGCGGGCACCTGTGTGCTGACCACCCTCTGAAACTTTCAGACCATGTAACCAGAGAGCAGCTGGACCGAGTCCTGGCGCTGATCCAAGGCTCCCATCAGAAGGCCCTGGTGATGTAAGTGGGGCCCTGCCCACAGCTCCCTGAAAAGGGCCCTCCAGGGGGTGCCCACAGGGCTCCCCTAGGCTCTGCCCACCTGGGGGTCGATGCCATGGATCTCTTCAGAGCCTGCAATCAGACGTGAACCATTCATTCCTTCTACAGTGAACAGAAGTGCCTCTGTGTCAGGCCTTAGGCCAGCCCTTGGGGAAACTGAGGGGAAGGAAACATCAGCCGCCCTCCTAGGGAGTGTATGGTGAGGAAAGCCAGGGACCCGCGGTGTTATGGCACAGAGCTGCAGCGAGAGCGGTCAGCATGTGTGTGGCTGTTGAAGCCGGGGAGAGTGTGCAGAGGAGGCAGACTGCACTTACAGACTGGAAGGGGCAGAGAAAACGGCCGCTGCAACGGCCCCTGGAAGGGCAGGGGAGGGGGAGGGCGAATGAAGAGCTTCTGGAAAGGCATCTCTCGGGAGTTGGCAGGGCCGGGGTAAACAGTCAGCTCAGCTCCCCACCGCACGCCAGCCAGCCGACTCGACCTGCCTGCTGATCCCCAGGCACTCCAGCCTGGACCTGCAGACCCAGGAGGCCTATGAGATGGCCGTGAGAGGCTTGATCCGGCCCATGAGCAAGTCCCCGATGCTGATAGCCGGCATCCGATGCCTCCACTTTGCGCCTCCAGAGTTCCTCTTGGGTAAGTTGCCCCGGGAAGTTGGAGCAAGGAGATGGGACGCCTGGGGTTGGGGAGTCTCAGCAGAACACCCTTGCAAAGGCCAGCACATGCCAGCCCCGGTCTCTGCCGGCCGAGGCAGCAGGGCCAAATTCCCTCCCGGCCCTGTACTGGACTTGGCTGATTACGGCACGCAGAACAAATGTTATCCTAGCTCCTGCCAAGTCACCCTTTGAAGCCAGCACTTAACAAGCACAGGTTATATTTAGCGGCTCACTTCCAGAGCCCCCCAGTGCTTCAAGTTGATGTCGGCCATCAGACAGCATCCTCACCTCCCCCGTCCCACCCAACCCAGCCCCCCGCCTCCTCCCACTGCTTTCTTCTCGGTTGGTCATACAGTCAGGGCTCCATTTCTTGGGCATGACCAAGACTCTCCCCGTGCTAAGCACCTTATAGTATAAATTATCCCTTAGACTCCTCACAACCACCCATTTTATAGATGAGCAAACCAAGTCTTAAGAGTAATGCTTTGACTTTAACATGCCCACACATCACCTGGGGGTCTTACAAGGCAGATTTGGACTCAGCAGGTCTGGGTAGGGCCTGAGGTGCTGGGAGGTCTAGCAGGATTTCCCGCAGCACCTACAGGGCAGCTCTCAGGCTACACTTTGAATAGCAAAGCCCCAGAGAACTAAGGTGTCCTGCTAAGGTTATTTCACAGCCCGGAGGTACTAAGCGGTGTGGATCTAGGTCAGTGAGCGCCAGAGGCTATGCTCCGGACCTCAGTATCTGTCGCCACATGTCCCCGGCAGAGGTCCAGTGCATGCATGAGACACAGAAGCACCTGCGGAGGCTGGTGCATGAGATCGGCCTGGAGTTGAAGACCACTGCTGTCTGCACCCGAGTGCAGCGGACACGCGACGGCTTCTTCACCCTGGACGACGCCCTCCTGAGGACCCAGTGGGACCTCCACAGCATCCAGGATGCCATCCGGGCCGCAGGCCCCCGGGTGGCAGCAGAGCTGGAGAAGAGCTTGAGCCTGGGGCTGGGCCCCCAGCAGCCACCTGGTGCAGGCCCGCAGTGGGACGGTGAGGGACCAGGCTCTGCCTTCAATGGCCGGACCCTGGGTGAGGCAGCGGGTGGGTAAACACAGGAGTTGTTCCTGAGCCAGAGCAGATGACAATGCAGAAAGAGTCAGGAATCTCTACTGCATGTGACGTGAAATTCTGAAGCTGTAAGAAAGAAGACCTGACACAACTGAAAAGGAAAAAACTGCAATGGAGGAAAAAGACGGTGAACGAACGCCAGACTGGGAAGTATTTGCAGGATGTTTCATGAAGAACTAATATCCATAATATATAAAGAGTTGTTATAAAACAAGAAAAAAATGACAAGAAATTTGGGCAAAGGACACGAATTGCTTGTAAAAATGTAACCAAGTGGCCAGTGAGCCAGAAATGATGCTCAACCTTTCTAATAATGAAAGACCTCCAGGTGAACATGAGATGACTTTTCCTTGCCTTTGGAAAAAAGCAGTAAAAAGATAACACCCAGCGTTGATGGCGGGAGAAATGGGAGCTCTGTGCTGGTGGCAGTGTGACAGGATGGCAGGAAGCTAGGCAAATCCCCAGGCAGGTGGGCTGGGGAAACTGAGGCAAGGAAGTTAAACAAGGCCAAACAATTTGAGCAACTTACAGCCTACTCGTACATAAATCACAAACCTTATTTCCCCTAACCAAGGACACTTAAGAGCAAATGGTTCAAACCTCCCCTCCCTGACCAGAGAACACAGAGCTTCTGTCACCCTGGTCTGGGACACCACAGGTGTCCAGGAAGGGAGGGGGAGGGAGGACCTAGAAGCTGGCTACAAGCATGAGACCCATAAGAAACACAAGATAAACAACTGTCTTTAATTGAGCTTATTCACAGGGTTTAGAGAAGGGGAAGAACAAGACCAGGGTGCACCTGCAGGGAGAAAATAACAACGGTCATTCATCAGCACCCCGTAGTCACAGAAACACCAAAATAGAAGAGTCTACTCCCTCCCTCCGACTCCAATAGAAAGCCTGAGCCCTCGCACGCAGGTGCCACTCTCTGGTTCTGATCCCCAGATTTCCGCCCTCTGTAGGGCTGAATAAATCTTATTCTTGTTACCGGTGTCCCTGAACTGAATTCTTTTGGGAGACAACCCAAATCCGTCCTGGATTCGGTTCCATAATAGTAGGAGTATACAACTGTGAACTTTTGGTAGTATATATGTAAACTTAAATTACTGCCTTATAACTCAGCAGGTACAGTGTCAGGAATTTATTAGCTTAGGTTGCAGAAAGCTATAGATATGTGGATGTTCATAGTTGCATTGTAATAGTTATAAATGGGAATGTAATTACCATCTGTTAGTAAAGGACTGCTTAAGGAACTGGCACATATAGGGCCAAAGGGATCTAATACCATCAAGAAAATCAATGCTCCTACTTTTTTAGCCATGTTTCCTGCCAATTTTTTATTCTTGGCTTTGGACACCTTGGCCCCTGTGTGCTTTTTTGGGGGGCGGGGCGGGGATGGGTGGTCTTAACCTTGAAGGAGCAAGGTGGCCTTTGGCTAGGGCTCTGGTTTGGGCCCTTAGGGAAAGCATTGCATGTCTTGTCCCTGCTGCCATCATGGGAGAGAGGGCCCCGGTCACCAGGGCTCCCTCCCCTTGACGCCAGGGTCGCCTGCAGCTCAGGGCCGTGCTGAGCAAGCGTGGTCTCCGGGCTGAGAGGCTGCAGTAGCTCAGCTCCCTCGTCCTAACATGAGAATAGCGATTTCGCCCACCTCCCCACCTCGTGGGGTGGTTGTGAGGACAAAGGAAGCCATGGTCAGGTGCTTGTCATGGTGCCTGGCGCATGAGACCTGCTCTCTGTGTGAGCTGCCTGCTTGTTATGGCTGCTCCTCTGAACGCTGACCTCAAAGGGCTGCCACAGGAAGAGGCTGAGGTCTTCTCTGCCTCACGTCTCGTTCCTCCGGCAAAAAGTCAGTTGGGAAATGGACAAATGTGACCTCAGCCAGGTGACCAAGGACATCAGCAGTGATAAGTCATGTTGCTCGTTGGTACTCTTGCTGTGATGTGACGTGACAGAAATGGCCCTTTATTTTCAGGTCCTTTTGTTGGAGAAAGGAAGTTTTCTGGAAATTCCATTATAGCCAGCTTCTCTGGGGAAGTTGTTTTTAAATCCAAAGACTTGAACCACATTCCCTGCACATGAAACGTGTTTGCTTTTTCTTCCTTCTCTCATTGTCTCTTTCCCATCTAGTACCGTTATAGTTGTAGACATCTGCATTTTTAGCAGAGTTTTACCCATTTATTATTATTTTTTAATATTCAAGAACTGCTGACATATGAGGGACTTGAAAAATGCAGATGAAGAAATAATAGGTATCTTATGCTTTAATACATTGTGGCAGGATTGTACTATAAGCAAATGAATCAAACAGCTATGTAAATCACAAACAAAACCTAAAAATGAACCAAAGTGAAAAGGATAACTTCCAGGCAGTATCTTTCTATTGTAACCTGTTATTTAAGGGAATACTAGTGATTTGTTCTCAATAGGATGTAAAACTTGTTCCAAATTACTTTTCCTCAGTCCTGCCTGCCAAGAACTTAACTGTGATGTAGCCACCCTTCCTTCCCAGGTATATTGGCAGGTGTATGTGTGATCTCAGAATACACAGGTGACATAGATATGATATGACAACTGAAATGGTGGATTCATTTACATTGTTTACACTTCTATGACCAGGCCTTAAGGGAAGGTCAGTTTTTTAAAAACCAAGTAGTGTCTTCCTACCTGTCTCCATATACATGTCAAAGAAGAAGGGTGTTCGTGCTTCAGCTTTGTTTTTGCTCAGTAATATAGTCAAGGAAGAGTTTGTTTCCAAGTGACCTGTTGAGCTGTGTAAGCATTTTTGTTTATTTCAAATAAAATATATTTGTATTATTTGTCATTCATACTATCCATCCATACCACACTATCCTCTGTATCAGATAGTCCAATAGAAATATACCTGTTTTGTTCTTAAAAAAAAAAAAAAAAAAAAAAAAAAAAAAAGAAATGGCCCTTTACCTCTGAGGTCTTCCTCCCAATAACCTGTGACCCCAGTCTTACCATGAGAAGAACATCGGGTTCCTGTGGTGGGGCGTCCTACGAAGTGCCTGGGCCGTGCTCCCCAAAACTGTCCAGGTCGTCAAATGCGGTGAAGTGTGAGGAACTGCCACGGCCAAGGGGAGCCTGAAGAGACAGGACAACTAAATGTAAAGGGGGGGTCCTGCAGACCTCGAATGCTCCAGACTGTAACAGTTTTTGCAGTTTCTTTTTTGCATTTGAATTTATGGAGGGAACATAAGGAAGATTAAATGAAGGTGGGAGAAGGAAAGGAGGGATTGGATTACTGGAGAGTTAAGATTATTTGCTTTCTTCAGGATGGTCACATAATAAGGGAGGGGTCTGCAAAGAGGCATTTCAAAGGTGTGTTAACCTAGATGCACAGAAACAATGGACGGGACTTGATTAAGGCAACAATAAGATTTTACTAAAAAAGTTACAACAGTGTATAAACTTCGGAGACTCTTTTTTTCAGCATTGGGCAACTGAGATTCATCCATGGAGGGATCAGGAGTTCATTCCTCTCTATCGCTGCACAGTATAACACAGCATGGACATGCCACCATTTGTTCACTAGTCTTGCGGTTTTTAGTGATTATGAATAAAGCCAGAGATTTCTTCTTTCTTTGATATATATTGTTGCCTCCCATTTCACTGAGGAGCCAGAAGCAGTTGGAAGAGGACTTACATGAGCTCCCTCCAGCACTCCCTCGCCTCCCTGCATCCAGGTCCATAAGCTCTCTTTTCTCCTGTAACGAAGGATAAACTTGCGGCTGCTACCCACAGCCGGCCCTCTGCTTGCACATGAGATCCCACCTCTTTCCTGACCCAAGGTCTCACCTGGCAATGCTCCCCTCTCTTCTCCTTTGTCAATGACCTCCTTTTTACCTGATTATTTTCATCAACATACACACATGCCGTTAAATTTATCTTAAAAGCAAATGAACAGAAAACAGCATGGCAGGTCCTTCCTTAAGAATTAAACTTAGAATGACCATATGATCCAGCAATTCCACTTCTGAATATATATCCAAAAAGAATTGAAAGCAAAGGCTCAAACAGACATGTGTATACCCATGTTCATAGCAGCATTAGCTAAAAGGCAGAAATAATACAAGTGTTCACCAACAGATGGAAAGGATGAGCAAAATGTGGTCTGTCCACATGATGGAATAGTATTAAAGCGTTAAAAAGGAAGACACTTTGACAGGCACTGGACCATGGATGAACCTTGAACACATTATGCTAAATGAAATAAACCAGTCACAGGGAAACAAATACTGTGCGATACCATTGATTGGAGGTCCCTACAGCAGTCAAGTCCATAGAGACAGAGAGGAGAAGCGCGGTGTGGGGGCTGGGGAGAGGGCAGCTCCTGTTAAGTGGGGACAGAGTTTCAGTTCTGCAAGATGAAAAGCCCTGTAGAGATGGACGGTGGTGATGACTGCCTGACAGTGTGTTCAGTATCACTGAATCATACACTTAAATGTGGTTAACTCCCGGCTGGCGTGGCTCAGTGGGTTGGGCATCATCCTACAAAGTGGAAGGTCCTCAGTTCAATTCCAGGTCAGGGTACAGGCCTGGGTTGTGGACCTGGTCCCTGGCTGGAGGCATGGGAGAGGCAACTGATGGATGTTTCTCCTGCACATCGATTTTTCTCTCCTTCTCCTTCCCTTTCCCTTCCCCTCTCTCTAAAAAATAAATAAAAAAATTTTTAAAAATAAAATGATCAAAGAAGTGCCCTGACCAAAGTGGTTCAGTTGGTAGGGCATCATCCTGCAAAGTGAAAGGCCACGCGTTTGGTTCCTGGGTGAATCATGGGCCAGGATTTCAGGCCAGGTTCCCTGCTGGGACATGTGCGAGAGACAGGCAATCAATGTTTTCCTTTTCCTTCCCTTCCTCTCTCTAAAAATAAAGAAATAAAAATCTTTCTTAAAAATACCTTTAAAAAATGGTTAAAGGAGTCAATTTTATGTATATCTTACCCCTTAAAAGCCCCAAGCAGAAAAACAAACTCTTGACCTCATATTTCTCTCTGGTATCAACTTAAGAAAAGTCCAAACCTACACAAATTTTTATGAGCTTATCTGAGCCATACAGACAATTGCTGGGAAGCAAAACCTCTTGAGAAAAAGCTCTGGAAAAGTGTATACATTACAATCAAAAGAGGAGGTGAGCTCTGGCTGATGTGGCTCAGTGGACTGAGTGCCAGCCTGTGAACCGAAAGGTTGCTGGTTCAACTCCCAGTAAGGGATGCCTGGGTTGTGGACTAGGTCCCCAGTTGGGGGCGTGTGAGAGGCAAACAATCCATGTGTCTCTCTTGCATATCGATGTTTCTCTCCTCTTTCTCCCTCCCTTCCCTACTCTCAAAAAATAAAATCTTAAAAGAATAAATAAATTTAAAAAAAGAGGACGTGTAAAATGGGCTAGATTAGAGGGGTGGGAGAAAGCAAGGGAGGCGGGAACCTCTGGGTTTGGATGAAAAGGTAAAATGATAGACACATACTTCTTGACCTAGGTGAGTACAGGGTTAACACAGTAACTAACAATGAGGGGATTTGTCGCTTTAGCTCTGGTGAGGTGGTTTTGCCAGAGGGGTTTAGCAGAAGGGAAGTCAACTTGACCTTCCAGAGGTCTGCTATCTTAGATGCAAAAGGACAGTAGTCAGGCTCGGCTAAAGGCTGACTTGTGTCAGGGAAGATTCTGGCCTAGGACAAGACTATCCTTCATAAACTGCCTTTGGTTCAAATGTTTTAATTTCACACCATCCTCCGTGGTTACTTTGGTCTCTGAGTTTGTGAGGACACCACGCAGGTCTCCCCTGAGATGGTCAGGTTCAGTACGTGGCCCCTTTTCGTCCATGCCAGTTACCGTGTTTCTCTGCCTCCATTAAGAGCAAAACTCCGTCCTGGCCCGGTGGTTCAGTTGGTTAGAGCATCATTCAGATACATCAAGGTTGTGAGTTTCATTCTCGGTCATGCACCTCCAAGAAGCTACTGAGGCAGCATAGCTGGGAAAATTCCTTGGCAAGTGGAATGGGGAAACCGAGACAGCAAAACAAACCAGGTGAGCTATTTACGGCCAGATACAGAAGGTCACCTACCTAGAGACATTATCTGAGCCTCTGTTGTATTTCAGCTCCAGCCCCAGAGAAGCCAACAAAACCAGGTGGGTGACAATGACCTTTGCCCTGGCACTGACCCTTCGGTAGAGACCATGAGCCTGAAAGAGCACACTTGGAGAACTGATGAATAGTCTGCTGCAACCCTCCCCTGAGACCTCCCTTCCAATCCCTGCCTGCAAGAGAGAGAGAAAGCCCTGCAGACAAAGGACTAAGCATACTAAGCAAGTGCCCTCCCTCTGGGTAGCATGCCCCAGTGCCTTCCCCTCCCCT